TGGGATCTGCAGGAGCAGGTAAGTGATGCGACATCGGCCAGCTTACGTTTTGCATGGAAATGTAATTCATATTTAGGTATTTGCAGGGTTCCTGCTCAACCCCAGTGAGAAATACAGTTGATACAAAATCGTTCTGTTGGAAACAGGCTGCTGCAGAGCTGCTATTGAAGTTTGGGGAGCTCCATTGAAAACGCAAGGCTAAAGGCTCCCTCAAATACGGTCGAGCTCTTCAAGGAGCTGGGAGGTTTTCTGGGGAGGCACCGATCTCCTCCCCATTTGCAGCGGGGGTAGCTCAGCCCCACTTCAGTTTCATCACAGCTGAAACATTGGTTTTCCAGCTATTCCATGGCTGACAGAATGACATGAGGATCTTCTTAATGGCTCGATAGCTGGGACTCCCTATTCCCTGTTTGCTATGAATCCCTCCACGGCTGTGCAACATCAGCCAATAGCGTCTCTAAATCCATCACCTCTCTAACAGAGGTTGGTGCTGCAACCTTGGCACCTTGTAGCAGGTTACAGGGATTGCTGATCTACATGAATCCGTGGTGAAATCCCGTTGTCACAACCATGAAACCGAATAGGATGCTTCAAATGTAATGTGTGGCAAGTGCTTGCACTAAAGAGGAGTTCTGAGCAGATTTGAAGGGGAGAAGCTTCTGCTTATAAAGCTTAATAACACATCTGGTCAGCCTGTCTAGAGAGGTTGTGACAGAGGAGTGTGGAGTTCAGGTTCCAAGCTGCAAGGGGACACTTTGATTGATGAAATTTGGATAACAGCTACTACTGTATTCATGGATAAATCTTCTCAAGTACAGCCTAAGGGTATGGGGAACAGAGCCTTTTAACAGGTTTCCAGTTGTATGATACTGTCATAAAAAAATTACAGTGAAACTCTTCATATGCAAAGACTTTCTGAACAGTTGGGTTACGCATTTTGGTACACAAAGGGAAAACTGTCAGGTTTTGGACTACTCTATTGGAAGAGATTTAGGGTCAAACCCAAACCCGATACAGTCAGGAACCACTGGTTCCTGGGACTGCTCTGTAGACACTGACTGTGCATTAATGGTTGTTAATGGTAACTAAGTTAACGGTTGTTAATGGTAACTAAGTCAGAACTTTGTGGTTGGGTAGAAGATTGGGAGTCAGCTCTGAAGGTCCTTTTTCTGCCTGTCCGTGGACTGTGTGTGACTACTAACAAACAGGGTGACCCTTTTCTGCATAGGCACTTGGTCTCAAGGTCAGACTTGCCCACCTTGATCGGCGCTTAGGACTCAGACCAGGCTTAGAGTCAGGTTAAGCTCGAGCCTCGCAGGTCTCCAGAAGGCCACAGTCTAAGCATAACTTGGGAGCTCAAGTTCGGTCTGACAGGTTGGGCGCAGATAGCTGCTACCCAGCCTATCAGGAGCTATTCTGATTTCAGCTTTTCCTAAGCCTAGTACGGACGTTTTGAGCCAGGGCAGCTGCCAGGCTAGCAGCCAGCTGCACGTACCAGCAGGCAGAATGCGAGGCTTGCTGTGCGTAAACCTAGGTTGAACTTGTTCTTGACCTTGGGAGGTAGATACAGGTTTCTTTCTGCTTTGTTTTATTCACCCATAGTATCAGCATTCTATTTACTTATGTTACGAGTGTTTTAAAACATCAGTCTTGGAGAACAGAGGTTAGTGCCTAGCTTTATAACAAACCTCCTGCGTGACCTTCTAAGTCACTTAATGTAATTTGGTTCAGTTTAGCACGTGATGTGTGGTACAACCTCCTTTGTGCCAGCATACACAAGGCAGGGAGGGTTCAAGATGTCACGTGCAGGTGTCCTTCCAGTCCCCTCCTCCCTGTGCTGGGGCAGGACGTCCCATAAAATAAGATCTAGCAGGTTCTTGCTCCTTCTGGTCACAGGACTTCTTTCTTTCCCAGGTTTTTGTGATGTTAAGGGATGGTCAGCTTTGAAAAGCTAAAGAAAAAGATCAGCGATGTCCTCCCAGGCTGCGGAGGCTTGGGGCTTTTTTGGATATGCCACTGTTGTGTTTTTGCGCTGGGGAAGCAGGGCAGCAGCGTTAGAGATCTCGGAAAGTGAGCGCTGACATCCATCCAAGCTTACGGAGCGCTCTCAAGTCCTGTACATCTCAAGTTAAGGCATTTCTTCAGCACCACCTTGCGCTAAGGGGTGGCCATTGCAATCCTCCCTTCAGAGGCACTTGCGTGCAGGATTTCCATTACCGCTGAAGGTCTCTAGTGTGCTGTTGGGGTCATCGGGGTGATGTAGTATTGAGGCCATAAACTCTGTGTGCTCCTCAAAAAAAAAAAAAAAAAAAAAAGTCCGTTTACAAACACCATGACCTCTGATTCCTCATCCAGAAGGGAGGCACTGTTCCTGCAGTTTCTAGCAAGGAGCAAAAAGACAGCCAGGGGTTCTGGTTAACGGAGCTTTAATATTTGCATGTGATCCAGGTTCGGAAAGATTGCTTTTCATCTGGTATCTGAAAAATCCACTCTCACTCCTGGAAAAAAAAATGAATTGGAAAATCAAGATTTACTCATGCAGGCTATGCTAATTTATCGCTAAGATTCCTTATATTTGGAAATACCCCAAAGATCTGCTGCTTAAATAATGCAATGACACAAAGTCACTGGTTTTTTTTAAATTTGGTTGGTTTTCCATTGCACTTCTGGAAATCATTCTATATACTGTGTGGTTAAACAAGTGGGAGCATTTATGGCAATGCATAGTCGATATGCATAGGGGTAGGAGACCACGCAAGAAATATTTTTGGCTTTCTTCCTCAGTACTCCTAGAGATGAGAGTTACCATAGCACACCTTGCAACTATTATATTGAGCTTTTTGCAGTATGTTTGTATTTTTATTTAAATAAGTATGTGTATGTATTTACTTTCCAAAGGAAGTACGTAGGTGGAATAGAGGTTGTCCTCTTGATGTTAAGTGGAAAGAGAGTCAGTCGTCGTACAGACAAGCACAGACCTCTGACGTGTCTTTTGGGCCCATCCTGTTCAGTCAGGGATATGCGTTTACCCGTTGCAGGCTGCAGTGTGTGCACATGTTGGGGGATGCTCCTGGGGGTGAGGCTGCTTTGGAAATCATTCTCGCTTGTGCAAGACGTTCCTCAGGCAGAAGAGAGCAGCAGCCTGTCCTTTCCTTTGACCAGGGGTGTCTGGTCAGTGGGTGACCCACAAGCTAGCTGCCTCTAGCTTGGGGAGTTGTGGAGCAGCAAGGGATGGTGAGACACACACGTTGCTGGGAGAAGATGGGGAGACTGTCAGCCCAGCGAGTGTTTAGCACAGAGCCCCAGAGCCGTTGCTTTCTACTTGAACTGAGATGGTCTGGCAGCTGTTGGTTTGACCGGTAATTTTTCCACCTTCAGCTGTCTGTACATAACCGTACAGGCAGAGCGTTTCTCCTTCCCTCTTCTTTGCATTTCAACTGCAATTCTCTGCTCTAGCAAAGGTTTGCCACACCAGAATTTGTAACCATTGGGCTAGGATATAATTGGAAGAGAAAACTCATCTGCACTTGCGCCTCGGTGAATCTGCGACCCCGGGTCTTTGAGATCAGTGGCCAGTGCAGTCGCCCCCCGTGTCTTCCCCCCCTGCACGGCGCTCTTTCCTCCGCCGCTTTAGATATCACCTCCTGACAAGTCAGCTGAAGAACAGTGTGCTCATTTGTCTCTAAGGTGGGAGGCTGTAACGAAGAGCTGAGTAACTCGGAGGCCTCAAATTAAGAAGAATGATTCACAGTACACTGCATGTATTTCAAACCCAATGTGTCTGAAATTTGAATGGGGAGGGGAAAGGGGGGACTTCAGCACTCTGTTTTTTAAGCTGACAAACCCTGCACGAAGGGTGGTTGAAAGGGCTCAGGAGGATGGGGGGAGGAAGGGGATAGCAACCACAGTGAACCGAGCAGGATTTTGAACCAGCCATACCCTTGCGACTTGTGTAAAATGTATAAATAGCAGCTGGAGCCCCAGCCTGCCCGTCCTGTGTTTTGTCCTGGCCAGTCCTGAAGGCACTCCGCTGCTGGCCGACAGGCTGAAATCCTCCAGATGAAATCTGGGGGAGGCATGCACACTGTGCAGGGAGGTCTCCAGGCCACGCTCATTAATGATCCAAACAGCTGTACAATTTCAAAAGTGAAGCAGGATACCAGGATTAATTTTAGGGTTTGGAATGAATGTAAACTGAAGGAACATGCCAAAGCAGTGAGAGCGAGTAGGTGAAGGAAGTGACTAAAAGTGAACGTAGATTCCTGGACCCTTAATAAGAAACAGTGAAACACTGTGAAAATAGTGAAACAGCCATTATGTACAGGAAAGAAGTGATCCAGATTATGTCCACAACAGAATTTATTCCCCACGACAAACATGGTGCTTTGTGTTGCTGTACTGCTACTGTGCATTCTTTGACCAGCCTGCATCCAGTGGTGTCATTTTAGACTACACAAATCACCATTGTTCCTTTCTTTATATGTTGTGTGGTAATAAAAGTAACTCCCAAAAATAATTGAGCATCATTTAGTACTTTTCTTCTGAGTCATAAAAAAACTGTGTGAATATTTCCTCCCCTACAAGCCTAATGTGGAAGTTAACTTTGAAACCTAATTAAATGCTAAATGTCGTGTTATCTACATGATGCTGATCACCCTTGGCAAGGCGGTGGAGAGAAGACAGAAATGAAGACCCTGGGAAAGGAATTTGGAAGTAATAAAGAAAAAAAGAAAAATATCAAGTGGAAGAAAAAGAAAAGAAGGGAAAAGGGGCAGAAACTGCAGGGAGAACACAACTGTGTGTTCTACCAAGCTCACACTAAATAGAGACTTGTGATTAGTAATATTGAGATTTGTGAAGCAGTTGCACCATGTTGTGTTGTTGCGCTGTACAGACAACTGCCTTGACTCCAGTCTCCTGGAGACTTAGAGCAGTGTGCAATCCCAGTGATGTATCCCAAAGCACAGGGCAGAATCGGGATTGCGTTCTGGCTTCCTTGGAAGAGCGAGGCACGTGGTTTTACAGAATGGAGATGAGAGGTTGCATTGTTTGCTTTAGGTGTCTTGATCTGGAAAGGCTGCCTTAATTCTGTTAACTTTTAAGAGAGTAGTTAACCTCTAATATTCTTTAATGATAATATGTTGACACCGTCTCTGGTTGCACAGCCTTAATTTTACACTGAATGTTTTGCATGGAGTTTGTACGCTGGACAGCCTGCTATATGGCAAAAGAAAAAGGGGACATTCCCATGTTTCTGCAGGGTGCTGAAGTTTTGGCCTTTGTCTTTCTTATGGAGCAAACTCTCCACTTGTGAGCAGCTGGGACATCGCCTGCAGCACCTCCAGGTCATCAGCAGCAACAAGAAGGCTCAAACCCAGACTCAACTAATGAGGTATGGAGTACGCATAAAGTCACGCACGCCTTTGCTCTAGGCCTGTCTCCTCTGGGCAACCCAAACCATGGATCCTGTGCCCGCACAGCGCTAAGGGGTCCTCGCTGCACCATGTCATGTTGCCTCGCTTGCTCTACTCCCTGCTAGTTTGCAGATCTTTACTCTGCACTCTGTTTATATTAATTATGCCTTTTGCCAGAGATATGCCTTTTTCCCTAGCCTGGGAAAGGCAACCGGGATATTGCCCACAGAAAGCTTGTACTGCACCCATATGTGTAGTGCTTTGCTATCAGTACTCCCACAAGCTCGTTGTTCTCACATATGCTGCTGTTAACCAAAAGCTGCAATCAGTATTCAGTGGCACTTTCCATAAGAGCAGAAAGGTTTAAATGCTCCCCTCTTTCACCCGCTCTTTTGGGGAATCTTTCTTGCAGTAACTGGAGACCAGAGACTCCCAACAGCAGTAACAAAGTCAATGTTAACAGAAAAAGCAAACATGCAGCACAGTGAGTGGAACGGGGGAGGCAGAGATCTGAGACAGATATTGAATGCCCTACGGCCATTACACAGTGAGTCTTGTTCTGTGTGGTTCTCTGATCCTGCAGTAATAGACTCCCAGGGAACACTTAAAATAGATTAGCAGATTTGAAGGCCAAAAGTAACTGTGATTGTTTAATCTGATTTCCCAAATAATTCACGTCATGGAATTTCATTCAGAAACTCTAGCAGTGAGGGGGCAGTTCAGCAGCCCTTCTGGGTATGTTTATAAACCCAGAAACACTGTTTATGACATTGACGAGTGGTTCAACTAAAGTATACCTCTTGGAAAGCCATCTGATCTCTACGTGGCTACTCCGAGTGCTGGTGCCCTTAGTATTGGTAAATCTCCCCCTGAGTATATATACATACACACACTTTGTCTAACGGTCCTCTTTGTAGCTTCAATCCCACTCTTCGCTCCCCTTACTAAGAAAGGTTTTGTGGTGTGGCAGGCTCCGAGTGGCTCCATGTTTGGCCACAGAAGTAGCAGCACGCCAGTGAAAGTCAAAAGATCTCTACACCGCGTCTCTTCAGTAAATTGTCTTGGTGTCCCTGGGACATTAAAAATGCTATGTAAGTGAAGCCGACAAGTGTCACTGAAACATTAAACACCGTCCTTCCTTTTGCTCTAACACTGTTTCTCTTTATCCTGCGTGCAGGAAAGCCAACATCTTTGTCTCTCTGCTGATTGATGTGGCTCTGGGGATACTGCTAATGTCCTGGCTGTACAGAAAGAACCGAATTGGTCACCTTGCTGACACTCTGATCCCCGTGGCTGATGTAAGTCTGGCCAGAGATGTTCCTCTTTCACCTGCTGCGGGTACTAACCAGCTCTTGATGCCTGGGATAGTTGTAAGGAGGCGATGCCTTACGCATAAGGATTTCAGAGAGAGTCCTGTCTGAAGCCGTTGCAAATTAGGTCTCCTCAAGAGCAGTGAAATCTTCAAATCAAGCCTGCTGGGGCTGCTCAAAAGGAACACAGCTCTGCTTTGCGTGTGCAGTGAATAGTAATTAGATCTGTTTACCGGAGGGCTGCTCCAGCTCCTAAAGTAACAATTATGGCTTGGACAGAGCTCTGCAGCTGCAGGTTGAGTGATTATCAAGCCAGAATACTTTTATTCTGGAGTCGACAGGAAATGTCCTCAAGTTGTTGCAATATGGGGTGTTTGGGGGGAAAAAAAAAAAGCTATAACCTGGGTTGAATCTGATAAACTACTGAAAAGTCAAACTTGATAAGCAGTGCAGCTGTGCTTGTGAAGAGGAATTTCATGGGGAAACCCAAAGGCATTAGCTAGTCAGGATACAAACACCTGAAATCCTGCCTAAGAGCTCTGGTCTACAGATGGTAAACTAGGAAAACTTGCTGTGTCCTGTGATTTTCTCAAACATAACTCCTCTTGCCCACTAAGATCCCTCAGCATCAGCATAAATTCATGAAGAACAAGTATGACTCATACTATCCTGCTTTTCTGGTGGCTCATTTTAGGTGCAGTACTCAAATATATCTGTTTAGTGGCAGTAAGGAACATATAATGTAATTCAGAGGCTGGACACCAGACCACTAATCTGAAGTTAGCTCCATTTTAAGAGCTTCTGTGCCTTGGGAATACATGTGCAGCCAATGTTGAGCACTGTCGTGCAGCTGCACAGCCTAATCCTCTCTCTGCCCGCTTTCCTTTCATTTCTGGGAGAGAAGGTGGATCTTTCCATTGGTTTCTTTCTAGCAGTTTCTTTCTTTGCTCTTTCTCCAGCTTCTTGGTTGGGAGGAATTTTATTCTGATTAAAGAATTCCAGCAGCAATTTATTTTCCCTACTTATTCTGTCTTTCTTGGGAAGAGCCCACGTTTCCCTTGATGATGATCTGCTTGGTCCACGTCTAACCTTTTAATTGTTACAAGCCATAGGTCTCTGATCATTCTTGTCCATGCTGTGCTTTCAGAAAGTGTATATGGAGTGTCCAGCATAGCTGTGGCTCATTACTATTGCTATTTTTTTTATCTTTCATAGTTAAACTTTGAAGGATTGCATGTTTTAAGGATTGCTGCAGACACCACTCAGCAGCAGTGGTGGGGTAGAAAGGACCACAATTCTTGCAATACACTTGCTCTTGTATTTGAGCTATACACTAAAAATATTTTTCTAAGTCTTATTCCTAAGTCTTTTCTCTTACAGACATTTCAGCTGGAGAAGTTTAAGTTCTCTAGAGCTCTCCCTGTGGGATTACTGCAAGAGTCCAGCTCTCAGAAATCTGATTTCTTAACAAGTCTGCAAGGAAGTGGCTTTTGGCTGCGTTCCTGTTTGCACAGGTGGCTCCAGGAGGGGTTCCATCTGCCCAGTGTCTTTGGCAGATGGACGCTCTCCGTGCTCAAGGTGTATCCGATCCTAGCACCTGTCCTGGAGAGGCTTGCTTGTGAGAGTTGCTTGTTCGTTCCTCTTTCAGTAATTTAGCTCATCTGTCACTCAACTTATGCACCATAGTGTCAGTTATTTTCACCATGTCTCCTACATGTGCGGACTTCATTACCTTGGTATCACGAAGAGCTGTTTACTTGCTTTCCTGGAAGTGTTAACTCCTTCATGTGTGGGTGGCCTCGTAGTCAGTTGGTGCCTGCCTTCTCTGCAATAGCTCCAAGCTTATCAGTTCAGGCCACTTACAACTCTTCTTACTTTCCAGCCTTACTTTCTTCTTTCAAGTGTATTAGATTGTGGATGTAAAATCATTTGGAGTCCTTTTACTGGCTTCGGTGGGCATTGATTTATATGCATTATGTGCAAGCCTTAAAAAATGCAGATTTGAGCGATCCCAAAATACACCAGTGACTTCAGCATTTGGTGTGCAAGCCAGCACCACTTCTTTTCCAGTATGACAGCAAAATCTCCCCTTAGCCATTCAGCAGTAGGTTTCCTCTTTGCTGCTGAGTGTCCATCTGGTACGCATTGTTCCCATCACTTGGGCTTTCTCAAGTGCTTATGTGTTGCCAAGTTCAGTAACGCAAACTTTCCCATGTGCAGAATGAGTTGCTTTTCCTTCCCTAATGCCCCTTGCTATTTTACTTTTGATGTGTCCCCCAGATCTGGTGACGGCATTGACCTTACATCTCTGCATCTGTTAGTAAATAGAACATTACATATATTATAATAAGATTATTATATATTATAAGGTTATATACATAACCTTATTTTAACCTTATTGATTTGATTGATTTTAATATTGACAAACTAACCTTATATAACGTATAACCTTATTGGTTTGATTGATCGATTTTAATATTGACAAAATCATAGCTGGGGGGAGGCTGGATGCAGTGCTCTTTTTTTTCCTAGCAAACATCTCTCTGGAAGGAAGCAGATGCAGGTAGGTTATTTTGGCTCTCAATGACTGCCAGGGTCACAAGCTCAGCCTGCTGACGTGAGGATCGAGCCGTGTTCCCTAGCCATCATTCGTCATCCCCTGATATAATGGATCTCAAATCAGCACTTAGCTAGCAATTGTTGATGATGCACAACCATCATTGACTGCAGCTCCCACTTTCACAGCTTGATGAGCTGTGCTGTGCTGACTGTAATAACAAGTTGCTTTTGTCAGTAAATGAGGCAGATGTGATTCAGAGACACCTAGGGAGTAACTGGCGAGTAGTTGTATGCAATACGAAGGGCTGATTTTTGTGACAGGCTTTCAAATCCAAGAATGGAAAATGTGAATAATCTTCTCCCTGAAGGTGCCCTCACAACTCCTACCCTCCTCCTTCCTCTTGCTCCCACCAGGCTTCCCAATGGTTGTCCTTGTTTTTGCCTTCCACAAGACAGCCTTCTTTCAAAAATACCCGATTCAAAGTGCTACATTTGTCTGTTTTAAAAAGAAGAACTGTTTATAAACCATCTTCGGGTTTTTTTTCCCTTTCACCTCTTTCATCCTTGCTGATGTCTCTTTTTCTTAAGCTGTAATCTCTTTGAAACAGTTAAATATTTATCATAAATCATGCCTCCAAAAATGTTACTGGGGCTTAGAGATAATTGGATGTAAGTTCCTCTTCAGTCATGTTCTGCTAATCCATAAACAAAGCAAGCAGAGAGGACACTTCCTGGAAAATATTCTTAGATGTTAATTTGTAAAATAGTATAACTTAGAGCCCTAAACGCCTGCAACAGACACAGGGCAAATGCATACGGAGACTAGAAAGAAGAGCATGACAGTAAAGAAAATATTTCCACAGTGATCTCATCTAAACCATGTCAGCTTTAGTCTCCAGTTTGGTAATGTCCCTACACCCCTTTTTGAAACACTCCCAATTCACTGTATCTTATTTATTAATACCGGCCACCTTCAGTATTCATGACTGCAACAGGAGAATTGGACTCCCAGTCGCCTTTTCTGATTCTGCTTGCTATTGATCAGTCCTAAAATATCTGGCTGGAAAACAACCTGCAAGGTTATGCCTTAGGACTGTGTTTTGAAATGCCTTGCCCAGCTAAATAACGGCAAGCTAGGGCACCTTCCCAGAGCTACGTGCCCCTGTCAGAATTCAGTAGCACCTCTGGGACTGGCAGCCTCCAGAAGTATTCAGTGCTGAAAAACAGCCTTGCTGAAGGACTGCTTTCAAGCATTTAAATATTTCATTAAAATCCCCGAATGCTTTTTCTAAGTTACCAATCCAACACTTTAAATATTAAAAACAGTCTATTTATAAAGTAGCTAACACTTCTCAGCCACAGAGGTAAGAACCGTGGGTTCAAATCACTTCTGACTTGCAGTGAGACAGAGGGAAAATGAATGAAATAAAAAGGCAATCCTTTTGGATAAGTTGAAGATGGAGCCCTTAATTTTGCCACTACACTAAAAGTAAATGTTTACAAACTCATTTTGCAAGGATCCTGTTGGTTAATAAATAAAACGGAATCACTCCTCGGAAATCATTTCCCCTTAGGGAAATTATCCATATGAATGATGGGGAAAGTAGGCTACAGTGCAGCAGCTTCGGGTAGCATGTCTTGATTCTTCTACACGTGCACAATTTGCAGTGCAATTCACTTGCATGGGCTTGACTATAAGTGGGATTTTCAGAGGTAGAAGGCTTTTACTCACAATTTCTGTTCATATGGGACAGTGTGAGAGGTCACTTCTTCCAGGCGTGTTCCCCCCCCGTTTGCTGGAGGTTACCACTCTCAGCTACCTCAATTCACAGCCTGGTACATGGACTTCACCGCTGATTTCAGCTTAGGTGAGTAGGTCAGGTGCAAACTGCTGAGGAGCAGAGCATCCGCATCTTCTGCCCTGCCGACTGCAAGGGGGACCTCTAGCAGAGTAGTGGGGTGGAGAGAGAAAATCAGTAAGTAATATCAGCCTGGGATTAAATTACCAGAAATTGTGAGTCAAAGCCTTCAGTGATTTGGGGACAAGCTCCATTAGGCTTTTTTTCTCAATGTTTCAGAGGGCTTCTTTTTTAGTGGGATGCCATGGATATCTCTCCGTGACGCCTGCAGAGAGGCAAGATAGTGGCAGGCAAGATCAGTGCTAAACAGCATGGTTAATCTTGCCTAGTACACCACAGAGTATCAGGAAAGTTTGTTTATGTATGAAATACATTTATGTATTTGTGTTTTCTACCCTGCTGTAAACACATACAGGTTATTTGTAAAAATGCACTTTTTTTGCCCATGAGCGCACTGCCATCTTGCCCCTTTTAAAATCCTGACAGCCTTCCCCATAGTTAGATTACTTGCTCAATTCTGACTTTTCAGTTGACTGTCCAAAGAAGTCGATTTGCGCACCAGCATTTGCCACCTATTTCAAGAGCTCTCATTACACCAAGAAATCATACCGTGCAAGTCTACCCCAGATGGCCATGAACAAACGCTAGGTTTGTGTTCCCAGCACTGTTCCATGTTTAAGCAATTCAGCTTCCTCTCTGCTGTTATGTTTGGGTTCAGTAAAGAGACACTTGTCAATAAAGGTGCATTTCTGATTTAACTAGTTGTCTGTAAAGTAGTAGTTTGGATGTTTTTTTTTTTCCCATTGGTTTGAAGGGTGTGGTAAGAATACTTGGGGGGGGGCATCTTGTACAGTACACTGGACCTGTTCAGTGTGGTAGCAGTCTTTTATCTCAGGTGTCTTCCTTCCATGTGTTTGTAGCATGTAGCTGAAGAGCTCCAGGACCTGCTCCAGTGGCTAATGGGAGCGCCAGCTGGACTGAAAATGAACCGAGCTTTGGATCAGGTTTTGGGCCGCTTCTTCCTTTACCACATCCATCTTTGGATTAGTAAGTGCAACTGTTTAACTGAAAAGCTTCCCTTTTCATCTCTTCCCTCCCGAGTGTTTAATGTTTGCCTAGAGGTGAATAATGAATCAAAATGCACTACTGCAAGTACGAACTTGTCTGTGAGTCTTCCCGCTGTGGGAACCCAAGCCAAAGTTGGATTCCCACACGAGGAAGTCATGCATATTAAATAAAGTGCTTGTACTGATGCTTTGCAAGAAGTGCAAATCACGACAGAGCTTACTTACTTGGTGCCATTAATGGTGAGTGTCCAAGGGAAGGCTTTAGGCCTTGCGTAGGCTTTCACAGTCTTTGCCCTGTAAGAGGCAGCTGATAGGATAGGGATGAGAAGCATGCTCTCGGGATGCAAATGCAAACTCTGTCTTGTCACTGACTTCAGCTTAGTGCAATTTTGTTATTTCAACACACCCCTGTTATCCTTGATAAGTGTCTTGATGAAGGAGTATCGTCATGATGGACGTGAACTCCTCAGTTATTATACTGATTTAGTCTGCTCAGCGATCAAGTATGGTCTCGTTTCTGTGACTTTGCTCCACCTTAGTGATGAAAGAGACTGTGTGCCCCCACACCATTTTATTTTATGAAAGCCATATGGGATGGCTTTTGTGGGAATAGCAAGAAGAGGAGAATGGTTGTAGTAAAGGTTGATGTGTGCAGTTAAAAATGTAATTAGGCACCTGGACACAAATCTAGAAAAGCAAATCACATGTGGAGCAAGGTGATTGCTCTGTTTAAGTTGAGCATGTCCTCCCCTTCTTCACGGAGCTGCCACACCTGGACAGAAACCTAGGGGGAAAGAGAGTTTTTTGTTGGCCTTCCTAAACAGAAGATGGCATCTAAAGGAGTTTTCCAGTTTTACTTCCATGTTTTTGTGGCTATGATTTCTGGAGCAATGTTCTAAGGCATGAATAATCAGTCTTTTGAGAGTGTCAACAGGAAGACGTCTCAGTCAAATACTGACACTCTGCAATGTCCACTAGGCTACATTCACCTGATGTCCCCATTCATTGAGATGATCCTCTGGTATGTTGGTCTGTCGGCTTGTCTGGGCCTGACCGTGGCTCTCTGCATCCTCTCTGACATCATTGCGCTTCTGACTTTCCACATCTACTGCTTCTATGTCTACGGAGCCAGGTGAGTTGATCTCTCTTGGTTATGTCTTGGATATCTCTTGTTATTCATGAGAGAAGGGCCACTGAACACTCAGGGCACGTGTTTAATTTGTGGAGCATTCAATCCTGGCATAGTTCTCTTGAATTCACAGCTTAGCCAGCAGTTAATGTATTGCATTCTTTTATGCATGTGGAAGTGATGGCTGCAGCAGTACAAGCAACCTATCTTTCAGTTCTCCTGCATTTAAACATTTATTTATTGTGGTAGTGACCTTGAAAAATAAAACTACATGATAGGCAGAGGACAAGAAAGCAGTTCACCCTATCCCTTTGATTCAACCTTCTAGTACTCTCTTCAGTTGCACCCTACCCAGTAGTTTTGAGGGGAACTGGAGGAGAGGAGGAGGAGGAAGGGGAACCCTTGTACTTCTGGAAAAACCCCGAAGTCCCTGCCTCTGCCCTATTTCAGAGGTTCTTGTCTGCATCGTGGAGCACAGATGCCAGGTTTGGGGTTACAGCATGGCTGTGACACCATCCTGGTGTCATTGTCTGGACCTACTGGAGGGCCCCACAGGCTGAGAGCCAGGCGGAGGCTCTGAGGGACTGTGTGGGAGTGCAGAGGGCTTTGGAGCACGTCCAGGGCATGTCGGGGTTACTGTGCAAATGGTGGTGCCCACCAACGTGCTCTGTTCCTGCCCTCCATTAACACGTCCTGCAGCAAGGCATCACACAGGCCACTGGAGGATAGCTGCTCTTGCCAAGGAGATGAGAGACAAGGTAATAAATAAAGAAACTTTTGGCTTATAAAGTACAGAATGGTCATTGTTCCTCCCCAGGCTGTGAGCAGAGGGCTTTACATTGCAAACAACAGAAGAAATAGTAGAACTTTAGTTATGGGTAGCTTAGGGGATGGTTAGAAATATTGAGATATGGTTTATGAATCAGTTCTGTTGTGAGCATAGGGCTTACGCCCGAAATCAGTAATGTCAATAATGGGGAGTCTCTTCCCAACACCTCTAACTACTGGAATTTCTGTTTTGGGCTGTGAGGAGTGGCCTTGCTCCTCCTAATTGTACAGAGTGGAAACAGGAAAAGCATTTTCTCAGCTGATTGGTTTTCCCTTGTGAGCTGCAGGGAGCCAGTCTACCCACCTTGGCTGTTTGTTAGAAGTATAGAGCAGCTATATGTTATCTTGCCGCTGGCACCAAATTGCCCTGCTGTGCCAGGTGCCCCCCCGTGGAGAGTCAGAAAGGGATAGCAGTCACCCACATCAACACGGCCACCACAACACCTTGCGTTCCTGCAGCTGGCGGAAGAATTTGCTGGTTCAGGTGCTGGTGAAGCCTGAGATCCCCTTCTGAAACAAACCACACGGTGAAACGAGAGCGGGCATGTGTGTGCAGGCAGCCAGGGAAGGTGGGGCAGGTGCTACAGCAGGAACACCCGCTTGGTGCCACGTCAGGGGGTGTGGGGAGTGTGTGACCTTAGTCAGAGCCATGGGGCAGGTATGTACCAGCAACCTGGAGGAGTTGTCCTGGGCACTCTCCTGCCTAGGGATTAGTGCACCGAGCTGTGCCTGCCAGTCTGGGGGCACCCTGCCAATTCCTTGAAGCAGTTGGCGTTCCTCAAACCAGATTCTTCTCTTGGATAAGACTCCTTGCCTCTGCTTTCACAACACTGCCTTGAAATCTGGGCAGCCTCTGTGCCTTAACTAGGCTGGTTAACCAGTCTGGCTTTTGTAGCTCAGGCTTTCTCAGGGTCTGTTCTGCCCCACAGATTGGCTGTGTCCCCCTTCTTTACATCCCTGTATGTTGGACACTGCTGCCCAGGGCTCTTTGTGCCTCCTCTCCATCCCAGAGGCTCTTTCTTCCTCTATGTTATTCCATAGAGGTGTCCATTTCCCACCCCTTATCACCCCAAGTTTCTCACACTGTTGCCGTTTTTCTGGGAGGGAAGTAGCTCCAAGTGTCATAGCACCAAGTTACGAAAGCCTAAGGAAAGGATGCAGCAGGGGTGCCGCCAGCCATTTAGTTGATCTCTTCCCACCCTTAATGGATGTTTGAAACTGTGGTTTACTAAAGAAGGTGCAGGGGCTCCAGTCCTCTCCCCTGCCTCTCTGTGCTGCGAAGGCAAAATTGAATTGTATTGACTCAAGTGTAAGGGGTAAGACTTTGGCCACTCCTGACGTGGAAGGGGTGTGAAGCAAGGGGAACAGAGCAGATCTAAACTGGAGAGACAGAGGTGAGCTCAGGGGAATAAGCTTGCTGCTTCTTTTGCTGCAGAAAAGGTGGTGGCATGGGGCTGGCGATTTGCTGCTGCTCATAGGGGCCGCCCTCCAGCATCACTTGCTACTTCCCATATGCCAGCCTCTTCATCAACAGGAGCAGAAATCAAGAGCCTTGCCGCAGCCCCGGGCCATGGCATGGCCATTGCCCTCCAGTGGTCCAGAGCTGTCTGCGGTAGCCTGCTTTGCCTGTGCCACAGGCCAGCCCAAATACAGTTGACTGAGCAATTAGTATTTTATCTGCGTCATTCTCAGGCTGATTTCTTTTGCTGCCCTGAGTTCTGCGGCGTCGGTAAGTGAGTGGGTGCAGGGGTGTAATGGTGACAGCTGTTTTGTGTTGAAGCTCAGGAACTCGCAGCTCTGATGCACAGCGTCTTCTCTTTGCTCAGGCTCTACTGCCTGAAGATTTACGGCCTGTCATCTCTCTGGCGCTTGTTCCGTGGGAAGAAGTGGAATGTCCTCCGGCAGCGGGTGGATTCTTGCTCCTATGACTTGGACCAGGTAGTGCTGCAGCGCCCGGGGCTCGCTGCAGGACGCTGCCCACGGGCAATACGATCCTATCCTGCTTCGACTAATACTGAGACAGAAGCCACGGGAGGCTTTGTGGTGCCCAGAACACGCGCCTGCCTGGCACTCTGCATCCGTGGCTCTTCGAACAACTGCTCGGACTCTGCTGCTCTGCAGCACCCCTTCGCTTCTCTGCATGTTCAGGGAGCCTAATTCTGGCAAGCGCTGAGCACCTGCAAGGCACCCTGGTGAACTCTGATGGGTGCTGCAGATGCTCGCAGCTCCTGGAGCATGGGAGTGGATATGGGGGAGGGAGGCAATTTAAGAAGTGGTGCCCAGCAGTGTTGCCACAGTAACAGACGTGCCAGTGTTTCTATTAAAAGGCCCTGTTTCATTCACGCTGGGCTGGAGCCTGGCCCACACATTCTCACTCAAGCAGCAGAGGCAGTTTTTTGTCAAACGCAGTAGCCTCTTTTTCTGAAATGCCACGCAGAAGTTCAGCAGAGCCTGAACTGCTCCACGCTGGCAGTTGCAAACATCACTAAAACAATAGAATAATATTTGGTAACTTCCAGGGCCAGTGCCTCTCTCTCCATTGCAACAGATAACCTTGAGCTTCTTACACCACAGCGGAGGACCTATTTTTCTCTTTCTTTGGTGATGGAAAAGTAAGAGCCTCCGTGCCAGGAAGGCGGTTTGCGTCAGGGCTCGGTCCCTGTGTGCTTTGAGGAGAATTGGCTTGGCACTTCAGGCTTCGTCCTGCTGCTCCGGAGGCCAGTGGGAATTATGTCGTTGGCCTGGGTGGGAAGAGACATTCAAAGCAGACCTTAAAAGACTTTTGGAGATGTTAAGCAACGGCAGTGGAGTGACAGAGGAGGGGAGAAACAACTGCTGTGAAGAGAATGGGTTGGGTTATGATCTATTTCTGGTTATGTGCATAAAGCTGGGATGTTGATCCACCTCTGTGACAGGACTGGGTTATTTTCTCTCATAATATACCACGGCCATGATCTCTTTTTGCAGAAGTGGCAGTGCCCTGTGTTCCTGTGGCCTCTCTGTTCTGGAAGTGGTGACTGAAAATTGAAGAGTCAGATCCCTATTTGTCATAAATCTGCATTTCTCCCAGTTGGAATTAGTTAGACTTACGCCAGCTGGGCTGGCCCAGAATAAAAATAACTTTTTCTGTGGGCAGTGGAGCTAATGACACCTGCTTTCCTATGGATTTTTCTCCTTCATCCTCTGAATATTGCTCCCCCCACCCCAGTAACTCCAGCTTCTTTCTCTCTCCCAGTTTCCCACTGAGCAAGAGGCAGAAGTTCTGTGGCTGGACTGACCAGCTGACTGCTGCTGCTGGGAATGTCTATCAACCAAATTTTGTCAGCTTTTCCCCAGCTGCTTGTTCTGCTAAAACAAGGAGGAACAAAAATACCTCTCAATTCTCTACAAAATTCCGTACCAAATTTCTACTTCTTTGTACCCTTCTGCCTTTTCCTGGTAAAAACTGACCAAAGGCTTTAAAACTTGCAGGGACAGGGGGTGGACAAACAGCATGATCATGTAAGGCTTGTTTCATAAGGAAGCTGGCCTGAAATAGGAAATCTTGACTATTGTCTATAAAGGAAAAATTGCTGTCAGGATCCAGCTTATTTATCTTTCCAAACATAGTCCTATTATAGGGAGCTTTCTAAAAAGGCCCAGTGAGAAAAGCAGTACTGAAAATATTCAAGGTAACAGCATTATTCACATAGGGAGTAAAAAAAAAACATGTTAAGGAGTCTTGCGAACTTTCATTGTCTCACAGTTTCCTATTCTTTTTATTTTCTTTTATTTTGCCATTGCTCTGCTAATGATTGTTTGTGTTTCTTTTTTCCCCTAGTTATTTATTGGAACTTTGCTATTTACAATCTTGCTGTTCCTCCTGCCTACGACTGCACTGTATTATTTGGTTTTCACCCTGGTAAGATTTAACCCTTGAAGCTAGTCATATACTGTCTTCTGAGATATTAAAAAAGGTTTCCTGGTCATTTACTGTCATCCGCAAAGAAAATATAAGACTTGTCTAAGTGTCCCAGGAAGGGTTCTCACACAGCCCATGTAGGCCAAGCAAGCGGAATTCAGGATATGTGTTTGTGTTTCTCCAAAGGGAATTCCCAGCAAATCCCAGTCAGCGGGACAAGCTGTTCCCCTCTCTTTCACTCAGAAGTAATTTTTTATCTTTCCATCCCACGTCTGGGGTGACGGCCCTTCTAGTTTGATCCAGAACTTGTTTTTTTCAGGAAATTAACTTGCTGTGTTAAATGCTTTCAGGCAGGCTTTGCTCTGAGGGTTGGACTTCTTTATTTTTCTTTTCTTCCCCCAGTATGACCAGTCCTCTGAGGCCTGCCTGGAGCAAAATTTTCCGCAGACAGTGGCCATTACATGGTTTCAACATCTTTTTTGAGCCCTCTCTTTTCAGATGAGCTTGACAGCAAAAATAAATGCAGTCTGACAAAAAGAGGTGCTTTAATCAGGGGACAGAAAACACGGAGCAGGAAGCTCATTTCTGACTGCTTTGTTCTTGCATAGATGCTCTACATGCGGTTTCTTCAGGCAGAAATAAGCTACTTCACTGTTGGAGAGAGAAAAATTTACATTCACTGATACACAGTGATGGAGTTTACTAGAAATGGAAGCCTGAATTCTCCCTTTTAGACTGTGACTGTTGAAAGTGGAATAACTCTCATGTCCTTGCAGGTCACGGCCTCTACAGCTGTAGGGGCTTCATTTCGGTTACACCCTTAAGCTAAGATTGTCAAGGAACCTCAGACAAGGTCTGGATGCCCAGCACTTCTAGACATCAAACCCGCTTTGGGAGGCTTTAGCTTAGCACACGACAACGCCAGATTGCAGATCAGCTCATGAATTTGCAAGTGTTACATCTCTATTTCTCTGAGATTTTCTTATTAAACTGTTTCTCTGTAGCTCCGTTTGCTGGTGGTGATTGTGCAAGGCCTGATACACTTGCTAGTTGACCTGATTGACTCTCTGCCTCTTTACTCAATCATCCTTCGGCTCTGCAGGTCCTACAGACTCGCAGGTAAGTCCTTCAGGACTGCACATGCAGACGTTCAAGGCTTTTGCATTATGCATTTAATTTTGATGCGATGGGTAGCTTCTCAATAGAAAGATGCAGCGGGGGCAGGAAAGAACCTAAGGCTTGAGTCACGCAGTTGTCCGTACTGTTAACCAATTACTGCAGGATGAGGATGTTAATGGAAAGGAACTTGATGCTGAAGCAGAATCAGGAGCCCCTTTACAAAGCCTGTGGCAACTACAAGTGACATCCAAACAAGCACCTTCTAAATGAGTTCATCTTTTGATTCCAGTTCTAGTGTACCAGGTCAGGTAAAACTTCTGAGAGTTAAACAAGCTGTTAACCTTGGGGGTTTGGGCTCTGAAACAAGCCAAATTACAAAAATTACAAAAATACTTGGAACGTCTGCTGTTTCAAAGGGCTGGATCTGCAGTGGCTGTGAATCAATGAAGCTGCTTCAGTTCTGTGCTGACTTGACTAATGGAAGTCCTGAGCAGAAGTGTTTGGATTAATTTCAGAGCTCTGGGCAGATTTCAGATAATCATTCTCTTTTTTGAGACTAATCTGTCACTATTTTGAAACTAGTCATTGTTTTTCCACTTTTGGTAACCATTGGCTATGGTTGGCGTCAGAGTAAAGGGTCATTCTGAAATGCGTTTAACTGTCAACAGCTATAGTTAATCTAGTTAAAATCAAGCAGATCTAAATTATTATATCCCATCCATTTAAA